TTCGAAAATCATATTTTTTTATTAATATATTCTAGTACAAAGCGACTAAAAACGATTTATTTCTTCTAGAAAGAACCGATGCTATTAAATTTAGTAACTACTTAGAAAATCTTGAAAGCAAATAAGGGTGTTCTGAATCTTGATTTTCGTCATCGCGTTACGTTAATTAAAATGAAATCTCATGTAAATATATAGTATATTTGAGCAATCTTTTTCTTCCGTTGGATACTTCAAACTGTCGACTACAAGTCTTCGTTGAATCATTTTTCCAATGTGGCAAACATTCGTAGAAGATCAACAATAAACACGCTACCCTCAACTTTTTGTCCCTTTTCCGTCATCGCATTTCGCTATATATTTTTGCTATAATTCCCAAATGGCTAAGCAAAATGAACTCAGAGTTTCGGGGATGGAAGGGGAGCATCGAGACGTACCTTTTGACGAAACAATTAAATTTTTAATTACCCCAATTGCTCAGAACGATTAAAAATACTGTAGCCAAAATGTCATCGCGTTACGCTCGGTGAAGCCGATATATAAATTACCAGAAAAAATTGAGTGTAATAAAGGTACCCTCATGTCCAGATGTAGAATTACTTTTTGAAAAAAGTAATTATCTATCACGTTGTATATTTACTTATTTTCTTATATCCATTTATTGAAAAGAATATTTGAGTACAGTGAACATACCATCCATTGATAAGTATCGAAAATCGTTACTTTTTTCCTTGGTTCATAGTATAGTTACTATAGAAATAAGTTTCTAAAAAGGAAATTATAGATTCTGATACTGTGAAATTCTCTATCATTCTATATATATTTTCCCTTGCCTTGCATTTGTGTACTGAATGTGCTGCAGCACATAACTGCAAAATAGTTAACAAGTATACAGAATGATAGAAAACCCCACTCGCTTTCAGAATATATCGTTAGTTTAAAAAAAAACACGTTGCTATGATAAAGATGTCCCCAAAATACAGACTACAACTTATTTTTTCCAGGCGTATATAATATTCATTTATTATTTTAATTCGAATAGCTTTGATTTGCTATTGTTAAAATAGCTTAGTATAATTGAAATTAAATTTCGATAAAATAATCAATTAATTAAAATAAAATTGTTTTAGTATGAAAATGATGAAGATATAAATGAACGTGGAAAAATTTTAATTAGTCTTATGTATTCAAATGAAACGTCAAATTTTCATATTAAAATAAAGCGTGCTTGTTATTTATTACCAATCGATATTGATCGTAAATCAAATTTTTATTGTCAATTATGTTTATTTTCATCTGATAATTTATCGAACAAATCGAATTTTAAAACAGATATTAAAAAACAAACATTTAATACACATATTAATCAAGAATTTATTTATAAAAATATTCAATTAAAACAATTAATTAGTAAAACATTACAAATAACTGTTTATAATAAAGAAATTAGAAAAAAAGACAATTTTATTGGTAACTAGATTTTACGATTTATTAACAATTAACACTATTCTAATAATTATCTGGAGTTCTTTTTTTTTTCAATATAGAAACAAATCAGATTTCAAATATAAGAATTCGAACTCTTATATTGAAGTTTAGTATTAGAAATAAATCATTTTTACTAGATGATTATGATAAAAATTCATTTGTTTTATTAATAGATTTAAAATAATATTTTATTTTTAAATAATTGATTATTAAATGTCTTATTTTATTAAATTTAATTAGTAATAGTTTAATTGAATAATAAAATAATAAAATTGTTTTGAGACATAATTAAATAAATGATTTTAATTTGTACTCATGTTGATTAGTGAGTTAAGAGATAATAATTGAATGTTAATTTATTTATTTTAAAATAAATAACCAAACAAGATTTCTCTATTAGGTGGAATTCGAATAGGTCAATCGGAAAGTGGAGATTATTTAAAACATTGGTTCTTAATGATAAAATGTCCAAATCAATCAATTGATATGTGGCACAATTTAAAAAATGAACATTTTTAATTACTTTTAAGGAAAGAACATTTTTCAAACATATTTATATGATCAATTATTTAATTATCAAATTTTCAATAGATTGTTTTTTTTATATCTTCCTTTTTTTTCTTTTGACATTTGTTGTTTTATTTTTCAATTTTTATTATATTATTCACTAGAAACAAATTTCTTCATTCTCCTCAATATATTCTATTACTATATATGTCTTTTCTTCTGTTATTACTTTATTCGACATATTACATTTCAATAGTTATTTATCAATAATATATATAACTCATTCCGCATAAACCACAACCTATGCTGCTCAATCGACATCGTCAGAATTTGCTCAATTTTATATATGTTGTAAAGGCAAGAGTTCTAAGAATTTCGACGCCAGCCGTTTGAAAAAAAACTATTCCTTTCACGAGATACTTAAATTTTTCTAAGAGTGGGGTGTGGGTGTGGGTGTGGGTGTGGGGT